GGTGAGGTCTTCAGGGGGTTATTAGGTCACAAGAATGGATCCCACATGGATGGATCTAGTGTCCTTATAAAAGGACCCCAGGGAGCTCTCCCCTCCTTCTGCACGTGAGGACACAGCAGGAAGACGCCATCTATGAACCTGAAGCAGGCCCTCACCAGACACTGGACCTGCCTTGATCTTGGACTCCCAACCTCCAGAACGGTGACAAATAAATATCCTTTGTTTCCCAGCTGCCTGGTCTGTGGTGTTCTGCTTTGGCAGCCTGGACAGACTGGGACATCTGGCTGGACTGTGAGATCAGGGGCCAGGGCTCTCTGTGACCCCCACAAGCATTAAGCACGTACTCCAAGAGAAGAAACTGCCCACATGCTGCAGATGAGCTGGGAAAATAGGCCCCTGTTCCAGAAGGACCAGGAAAGGGTCAGAGGGCACAAGGAGTCAGGGTGCACGCAGAACCGGCCTCCAGGCTGACTCACCCGACCTTCCTGTGCCAACCCAGAAGCTGCACTTTCAAGGAATCTTCTCTGGGAAATGAAGGAAGCCCTCCGGCTGCTTCTCCTGCTGACAAGCCAAGAGACTTCTTTGTTTAATAAGAAACTTCTCCTTTATGCTTCAATTTGCATAAATTTAAGGCTTATTTTATACATGCTACCCAAGGATGTCTGTTTGCCTTAAAACCTCCCCAGCAGGGGCGCTTGGGTGGCTCAGTCGGTTAAGCAGCCGACTTCGGCTCAGGTCACGATCTCGCGGTCCGTGAGTTCGAGCCCCACGTCGGGCTCTGGGCTGATGGCTCAGAGCCTGGAGCCTGTTTCCGATTCTGTGTCTCCCTCTCTCTGACCCTCCCCCGTTCATGCTCTGTCTCTCTCTGTCTCAAAAATAAATAAACGTTAAAAAATTAAAAAAAAAAAAAAAAAAAAAAAAAAAAAAAAAAAAAAAAAAAAAAAAAAAAAAAACCTCCCCAGCTGTCCCAGGTGAGAAATAAAAGGCACCTGAGAAATTAGGTCAGGGTGAATGGGGAAGAAAAATATCCATTGCCTGACATGAGTGTGCGTTCCCTGGGCAGATCCGTGAGGCCTACCGATAGGCAGGTTACCTACCGTTGGGCTGCATGGGATGGGGGAGGCCTCTGAGAAGCCACACGCGCTCAGCTGATGAAAACTGCCTGAAAAGGCCTCTGCAGAAGAATTCTGCAATCCTTAGGGCTGTTAACCCTGAAGGTTAGCACAGGCGTGGGGAGTTGTCAGCAGTGTCCAGCTGGAGAGCTGGAAGGGGACAGGCCACCCGCAGATCGAACGCTAGCCAGGGCAGCCGATCAGGCACAAGCTGTCACAGAGAAGACACCACATGCAAGGCTTCCCCTACCAGTATTCTCGTCTGCTGACTGTAACTTGCCGTTCTTTCCCCAAATGTTGTTTGTGACGTGAGTGGGAAAGCGGAAGTGACATTTTTATCGTAAGACGTTGCTCTTGCCTCGCCCTTCCTGAGGTTCATGGAGAGAGACCATGCACAAACCAAAACAGCCAGTCCCCATCTGACCTACCGGCCCCCTTCTGCCAGGGCTGTGGTGCAGGGAAAGAGCACCGCCAGTCATTAGGGGAGGCCGGGCCAGCCTCCTCCTCCAGGAGGCACAGCAGTGGTCCCCATGGCCAACCCCACCGCTCATTCCACTCCAAGGGACAGGTCCAAGCCAGCCTCCGACGCTCCAGTGCCCTCGCCAGGGACTAAGTCAGGTCAACCCATGTCAGACCAGGAGTCTGTTAAATGTAGATGCTAGGCCCCATCCTCATAGCTTCTGATATAACAGGGATGGGGTGAAGCTCAGGAACCTGCATTTCTAGCAGGTGCCTGAGTGCTGCTGATCCAGAGACCATACCGTGTGAGCCACTGATTTGGGCACAGACAAGCTACCCAACTATAGTCGGTGTGAGGAGACCCTGCGAGGGAATTTCTGCAGAAGGCTTCTTTGCTGACAAAGAGACAGTAGAGGAGACAACCCCCTTCAGCCTCTGGACCATGTGATGACAGAGATGTTCTTTTATCTGCTCTGTCCCATGTGGCAGCTAGTAGCCATGCAGGTAGCCAGAGAGCACATGAAATGTAGCTGGTGTTACTGTTGAAACTAGAGGGGTATCCGGGTGGCTCAGTCAGTTGAGCGTCCAACTCTTGATTTCAGCTCAGGTCATGATCTCACTATTCGTGGGACTGAGCCCTGCATCTGGCTCCAAGCTAGGAGAGTAGAGCCTGCTTGGGATTCTTTGTCTCCCTCTCTCTCTCTGCCCCCTCCCACACGTGCACATGCACTCTCTCTCTCAAAAATAAACAGACCTAAAAAAACTACAAATTTTATTTTTAGTTCATTTTAATTAATTTGAACTGTAAATAGCCACCTGTGGCTAGTGGCTCCCATAAGGGACACTGTAGCCCTGGACACTCCCAGGTCTAGATGCGACAGCTGGAACTGTTGCTACAAATGCCCTGCCATCAGCCTGAGCGGAAGACACACACAGAGAGGAACACAGAGCCACATCCTGATGTACTCAGCCCGACCTCAGCGGCTTCTGTGAGATCACACATTTCTCTACTGTTTAAGGCAATGTGAGAGGGTATTCCCTCCTCTACAGCCAAAGGTCTCCAGGCTAACACAGTCTGCACAAAAATGGGGCCACTCAACCCAAGGACGATGTCAACTGCTGGCATAAGAACCAGAAAAGCAACACTTGGGTCCCGGTGAACTGAGGAGGGTCTGACCCAAAGGGATACAACCAGGTCTTTCAGCATCCAAAATCCAGGCACCAACAAGCAAGGCTCAGCCTACACAGGACGTCCAGCACAGCACTGCCTGCTTGTCAACAAGTACCTGGGGACAGTGTTCACCCCTCCATCCCAAGGGCCAAACCAGCTCCAGGTACGCATAGAACCAAAGGTCAGGTCAGTGACATGAAGCTTCTTCCAGAGTTTACGGAAGTCCGGCTGCATAAAAAATACCTACTCCTACTCCTCCTTGAAATTCCACTACTAACAATAACCGCTGTGGTTTCAGTAATCGCGCTCTCTTTGGAGAGAATGATGCAAATGTTCCCAGGAAAGATACCACTGTAAGCCCTGAAGTGTCGATGTGAATGAATTTGTCAGGTATCTGTTAGATCACTGCACCTCGTTTCCAAGGGGAACAGGGAGCCAACAGAGCAGAGCATGAGGCAGGAGAGGTGCACTCAGGATTCAACCCCCTCAGGTTTACAAAAGCCCCATGACAGCGTTCCATTCATCCTGACTGCCCCACCCCACGGGATTCCCAGAAGCCAGTCCCGTGTTCAAAATTCCAACAACCCCTTCATTGAGTCGATGGACTCCTAGCAGACAGCACAAAGTAATAAACACTGAAGTTCTGTCCTGTGGTCCCGGAGGAGTCCTCCCAGACAGGGAGGAAGGAAACTGATTGGCTGCTCTGTGTCCTCCCCAAAATGTTGAAATCCTGACGGCAGCAAATGTGAATGTGACTTTATCAGAGATACAGTCAGACACTGAAGATAAGGTCATCCTGGAGTAGGACTAGTGTCCCTTGAAAAAGTAGAAATCTGAAGACAGACATGAACACAGGGAGAACACCATGTGAAGACAAAGGCAGAGACTGGGATGATACATCTACGAGCTAAGGATCACCAAGGATTGCCAGCACCCGGGCAGAAGGAAGGAGAGGTGCCTGGGACAGACCGTGCCTGATGCCGTCAGACTAACTATGAGAGAATACACTTCGGTTACATAAGCCACTCGGTTTGTTATACTATGCTATGGCAGCCCTAGAAAACGAATACAATACCTCCCTGCTTGTAGCTCTCTTACTGGACTGACCTCACATGTTATATTTACTTATGAAACCGTCTTCCCCCTGGACCCGAAGATCTACAAGCACTAGGACCACCGTCTGCCTTACTCACCACTGCATTCCAAGCCCACTTCTGGCGTTACAGAGGTGTTCTGTAAGTGTCAGTCGAATTAACGCATGAAAGGTCTGCCCCCGGCTGGGTCTGGACTCTCTGACATGAGACTTGCCCTCTCTCAGTGTCAATTTCCCCATCTGTCTACGTGGAAGAAACAAAATAATTGGACCAGATGACCTCCGTGAGCCCTTCTGACTCGGAAACTCCAGGACTCTCCACTGAAGGTGTATGCATCCAACAAGGTCAGATCAGGACATCAGAAACCGCACGAGGGTGTTAAACAGAGGGCACATGACACAGTAACAGGTAACAGAGGTGTGGGAAGGCTACGAGACCATGACAACCTTCCTGCTGAGATATCTTCAGTAAAGTAAAGGCTTCTGGAAACACTTGGCTACCCCTGTCCCTAGGACAATACACTGCCCAGAGGGCTGCTCCTGCTTACAAAGGACAGTCCCAAAAGGGGCCATTCTCATGGACAGTGGTCACTGAAGTACAAAGCCTGGGTCAGGGGGACAACAGCTCACTGAGAAGCCCCATGCTCTGACAAAGTGAAGAAATGGTGAAGCACGGCCTCCCCTACCACCCGCCTCCATTCTAACACCATATCCAGATTTCTGCCCTCCTCTGTTAAGAGCATGTATTGCTGGGGCACCTGGTAGCTAGGTCGGTTGAGTGTCCAACTCTTGATTTTGGCTCAGGTCATGATCTCATGGGCATGATCTCATGGGCATGAGATCGAGTCCCACATAGGGCTCTGTGCTGACGGTGCAGAGCCTGCTTGGGATTCTCTCTTCCTCTCTCTCTGCCCCTGCCCTGATGGCGCCATCTCTCTCTCAAAATAAATACACATTAAAAAATAATAATAATAATTTTTTAAAGAAGAGGATAGATTGCTGATGGAGAAAATGTGAATGGAGTCAATAGGAGATGACCCCATGAATGATCTGACAGGGGAGGCCAACTTCCCATCCCATAGACTCAGGGCTACCTCAGCTCACACCCAGACCCCCCACCTACCCGGTGCCCTCCAGGAAGGAAGGGTGTCCAGGTGGTACTCACCCACACTGCTGAGGGAGCTGCTGCTTTCTGAGTCTGAGGGCATGATGGACAAGACGCTGTAGGTGGAGCCTGGGGACAGAAGGACAGACCATTTGTTACTAACCCCAAACCACTGTCGGACCAACTGGTCTTTAGTCAACGCCAAACTGAGAACCAACACCACGTCAGGGACTAGAAATCAGATCTAAGGGGCGGGCAGGGGAGGTGTGGTCAGCAGGGCCTAGTCTCTGGTATTTCTGCCGATGTCCCACCTCACCTTTCCGCCACCCTCCTGCCCTGGAGACCTATCTACGCACAGACAGAGGAGAACTTGGAGCCAGTCAGATGGCTTCTTGTTAAGACATCTGGGGAAAAGCTTAGCAAGGGAGCAACATATGCCCCAGGCTAAAATAGGGTCTCGGGATTTCCTACAGATCTTTATCAATATGACGCTGGCTTCCATGCAGACAGCAAGAGAGGAGAAGCTAAACATCTATGAACTATTTTTTCTTTTTGCCCGACTGTTCTGCTCTCGCGTTCTGACTATATTCAAGCTCAGTCGTTAATGATATAGTCAGTGCCTGCCCCCTTATTAAAAGTTACTTATAAAATTTTGAGCAATTACACGGTCACCAAAGCCAGGGAGCAGTACGTGCCCTTTGTTTGGCCAACACTTAACGTTGTTAACCCCTGAGGTGGGCACACAACTGCCACACCACAGCTTCCAAGGCTAGGATGTTACCTGCCTGGCATCAGTAAAACCTCTGGGTGAAGAAACCCAGCTTCTGAACCTAGCTCTCATCCACTGAGCAAGTCACTTGTTTCCTGGAACTGTGCTCCCGACCTGAACAAGGATGGGGTTCAGCCAGACAGCTTATGAGGTCCTCTCCCCTGTCCCATGTCAGGATTACACGTTCCCCCTGACTGCATGCTTTGCTTGTGGCTACAGGGGACACAGTGTTAAGAGGGCAAGCCGACCAAGACTACCTTGGGAGCTGAGAAAAGCACCCATGTGCAGGCGGTGGGTCAAAGAAAACAAGGTAACAGCAGGAATGCAGGGTTTTGTCCTGCACAAAACTACACAGTGAAGAAGTGTGTGTACCAGGCAGAGCAGGTGAGCGAGAGACGGGATTTTTGCGGTAAAGCCTTTGCATAAGCCTCAGGGCTCCCATGTGAGAAAGCAGCCAAGAACTAATGAGATCTAGGGCTCCAGGACCTGAAACGTGGGGGCCAGATGTCAAAGTTTCTTCTTTCCCACCTCAACTCTTTTTAAAAAAAAATTTTTTTTTAACATTTATTTTTGAGACAGAGAGAGACAGAGCATGAACGGGGGAGGGGCAGAGAGAGAGAGGGAGACACAGAATTGGAAACAGGCTCCAGTCTCTGAGCCATCAGCCCAGAGCCCGACACGGGGCTCGAACTCACGGACCGTGAGATCATGACCTGAGCCGAAGTCAGCCGCTTAACCGACTGAGCCACCCAGGCGCCCCATCTCCCACCTCAGCTCTTGACTAGCTACCTGATACCTGCGCACTCCCCAAAGGGACAGCAAAGGGATGAAGAGATGGGGGTAAACAGGGGAGAGAAAGAAGGAGACCCGTGGGGGCGGGGAAGGGAGAGGCCAGCAGGGTGACAGATGACCCTGAGCAGACGGGAAAACCTGGGGGGAGGAGAGGAAGGGCAGACAGCCGAGCAGCCCTGGCATAATGGTAGGCGGGAGAGCTGGCAGGTACGCCCACCAGAAAAAGAGACAAAAGCGGAGAGCAAAAAGAAAACACAAGGAAAAGGGACTTTCATAATAGCAAGAACTAGGACAGTGGCCAGGATGACCAGTGGCCTTGTGACCGAATTTTCTGAGACTCTCTTAAGACCTTAGGTGTTTAGGGTGGATTGAAGATGTTCTGTCTTCAGATGGGACTGTCAAAGGGATCTGTTTGTTCAACACAGCTTCTGGCACCAGAAATGGACACAGCAGGTAGGTGCCGGAGAAAAGCTGCGGGTGGGGGCGCCTGACAGACAGGGCTGGCTCGGTCTGCAGATACCTAGGAAGGGCAGAGCCCCCCTCGACACACGCGTTCACTTCACGGAGGCCCCGTGCCCACCTGGCAGGGAGACCACAGCACAGTTCTGCACATCACTTGAAGGGAAAAGGAACTAGAAAACCCTGTTCAGCCCTGAAATTCCTTGATCCCACCAAAAAACGAGTAGCAACATTCAGTGAAATACCTCCCATATTTCAAGTCCGACCCACACAATTCATTTTGCTGTCCATTCAACGTTTCTGCATTTTTGTCCCAACAAAACAACGAGCACAAGTTTCTTAAATCATCTCTCTTCCCACGCCATAAACATCAAACATTGCATAAGGATCCACGAAGCAATGTCAGATGCAATTCAGGCAATCCGCTGGTATGTCAAAGGACAAAAACGTAACACAATGCCTGTTTTCTCAACTCAATTGCCAATTTCTTAATTATTTTTTTCTTTATGGGGACGAGGAAGGCTAGCCAGCTGGTATGTTGGTGGACTGTTTTCAAAAGATGCCCACTCAGAAAAGCAGGCGCAAATAAACTCTCCCACTCACACCTTGCGGATCTCTGAGCTGGATCGTGCTTGCGACAGCACGGCCCTGCGCTCCAGCAGCCGCTCCTCGCGGGAACGCCTTGCCTCTTCCTCACTACTGGCATTGGCAGAGCCCCATCTTCCAGTAAAGCGCCCCTCCTCATCAAGTTGCCTCCCTCCTCCCCCACGGCCAGTTTCCACTGTTAATTAAACTTGGCAGACGCCCTTGTCTTTCTCCGCCCATCTCCCTCCCTGGCTGGGGGAGTCAACTGGCCAACCAACACATTCTGTCCCTCTTCTCTGTCCCCAAAGTCCTGCTGGGGTTCTGGGGCCTGACCTGGGGGCAGCGTGACATCTCTATCTGCATCTCTGGGCATCACCACCCCTGAGTCGGCTGGCAGGGCTCCTAGGAGCTGGGGGCTGGCGGGGAGTGATTAAAATTGGACAGCGCCCAGTTTTTACAATGTTCCCAGGGCCTTAGACGTCATTCAGAGGGAAAAAAGGCCCGAAGACGACGCTGTCTTGGTCATGCTTTGTCTCTGCTGCTATTGTTGTCTTAAAAAGCCTGTGTGGTCAGGATGTCGGGAAAAGGCAAGAGGAGTCACTCTCCTCCAAAGTCACGCGGTGTCCTTTCAAAGCCGGTGGCTTCTGAAGGGCGGGTGTCAGGCGTCATCTACCTCTGGGGTTTCACAATCGAATCTGGAGGCCAACAGCAGCCTCCTCTCACAGGCACACGCCTCCCAGCCACCCCCAATTCCCCAGGAGTTCCATGCAGGCACTCACACCCCACCTGCCCTGAAACCTAAAGCATACCCCCACCTGGCAGAGAGGCCCAGGCCAGTGAAGGCTGAAGAATCAACCCGGCTCCCGCGCTGGCACTGCCCCCACTCCCTCCCCATGTGCCCTCCCACATCCCCTCAGGACACCACCACTCAGGGCAACCCCACAAACTGAGAGGACCCAGAAGTCGATGGTCTGGAAACGTTTCCAGGAAAGGAGAGCAGGGCATAAGCCCAGCTTTTCATGGACATGTAGACCACAGAGGGACACAAGGGAGCTCTTTCCTGCCATGGGGGCTACCTGGGGACCCAAGCAAAATGTAGATTCTGATGTGGGGAGACGACGGGGGCCTGAGACTCTGCATTTCCAACAAGTCCCCGAGGGCATGTGGTCGACAGACAGAATAAACGCAGGGCAGCAGGGATGACTGGAGTCATCGGGTGGGAAACCAATGCAAATCGTGGCAGAGGCCCCGAAAGGCAGCCAGCAAGCCGTGGGACCCACGCATTGTCTGCATCCTTCCCAAGAGCCCAGCCCCTGTTAATTGTGTTTACTCTGTGACTCAGCCCCACTGGGTCAGGGAGACCACTTCAAAAGAACTTCCAGTAAAATCACCCAAGCGATAACAGAATGCCCCAGCCCTCCGACAAGGCCACCTCCCGCAGCCTGTGGGGCCCAAAAGAGACAAGCTTAGCTTGTCACCTAATACACCCCTCCATTCACCTGGAGCTCATAAAGGCCCCAGTGACTCACGCTTCCTCCCCATGAAACCTGTAGGCACCGAAGGGACTTGTTCCAGCCTTGAGCCAGCACACAGAGTCCTCCCTGTGCTCCGGGAGGGTGAGGAGAGGCCGGGAGGACATGCCAACCAGCCCCCCCCAAGCACCTGGGAAGCGGGAGGGAGAAGGCGAGCCACTCTTTTCCTGGGGGCTCTAGCCAGGAGGTCCTGGAACCCTCCCCCAGGTCACAGGCAGATGACCGAGGGCACCCGATCGCTCTTGTGCTTGCACGTGTCCACCAGGTTCCTGACGCACGCCTGAGCCCTGCAAGGCCCTGGGCCAGGACTGGTGAAAAGAAGACAAGCCAGGGGCTCAGGAGGCTACTCAGCTGCTGTGAAACCGTGCAGAAGTCCCTTCCCCTCTCTGAGCCGGGGTCCCTCAACCTTAAATGAAGGCAGTATTGACTAGAACACCCACAGCGGTGCCAGCCTGCCTGGGCTGAACTCCCCCAACTCTGCCACTTAGCCGCTGTGTGCCTTTGGGAAAGCCACTCAGCTCTCCCTGCCTCCATGTGTTTATCCGTAAAATGGGCTAGGAGGAGTATTTTCCCAACAGAGGAATCTACTGAGTTAATGTGAAAAGGACTTGAGACAGCACCTGGCACAGCCAGCGCTCAAAGTGCCAGCTGCTGCCACCGTGGTCAAACCAGGCCTTCCAACCCTGCCATTTTCAATCCTCTGCTTATTGAAAGTCATAGCGGTACTAGAGTGACAAGGTCAAACAGTGCAGGATGAACAGACTGCCAGACTATATGGTACTAACAATAATAATAATAGCAGCTAATACACACTGAGCACTAGTGTCCAGCTGTGCTAAGCACTTTAGGAATTCCCAAAGCAACCCTGAGGCTGTCATTAGGCCCATTTTACAGAGTAGAAAACTAAGGGTTAGCAAAATTAACAAATTTGCCTAAGGTCCTGATAGAGGGACGAGTAAGGGTATGAACAGGACACAAACCCAG